AAAAAGAAGAAGCACGCAGCACAGCATCAAAGAACATATAGCTCAAGTCTTAGTCCTAGTAGACTAAGCAGCTTTAACGAACTAAAACTAAATATAATTAGAAAATTCAACCCTTTTTCCCCACATATAAATCACAAAATGAATGTGTGGTAATAAGTAATGCTAAATTCCAAACTTTGCGATTAGAAAATAACCGAGAAAGTATTATTTGAACTTGATTGGTACTAGTACTAACCATTATCTTATCTTAATAAATTTCAAATCCTTTTGGTTTGATTTAAAGTGTTTTTATGGAATGATTTTATTTCTCATTTTCCTTTCTTTGGTTTGTAAAGGGATAAAAATAATTGGTGGAAAACATTTTTCTTTACAAAGCATTTCCTCTAATCCATCCCACATTTCCACTCTTATTTCTAATTTCTCTTTAACTTTTCTTTTTAACGTGACTCTTTAATTTTCTTATAATAACCCAACAAACAAAAACTATCTTGCAAGTGTGGTTCCCTTGAAAATATATATTTCATGAAAACTAATTTTTATTGAAAATATGCTACATCAAATCAAATGGAGCCTTAAAAATAAGGTGAAAACATTCACGATCGCATAGTGTAGTGCGTACAAGCATGCATATTGACTCATGTCAATATCAAACCTTAATTTCTTATTATTTGCAATAAAAGAGCATTATTTGTGTAAGACATAAATATTACTCCATCCGTTTTTTTTTTTTTTTTTTTTTTTTTAATGCATTACTTTGATTTTTCTACTATTCACATAATATGGTTGACTTAGTTTTTTCACCTTTATAAAATAAAAAAAAATGTTATTATATAATATATCATTAGATTAGTCATAAGGTCTAATTTTGTTACAATTTTTTACTAATAGACTATTAAAGATAGAAATGGTCAAAGTTGCGAATCGGCAAATGTGCCGATCAAACTGATGCAAATAAAAAAATTAAGGGAGTACATTGTTGCAAATGATAAGAAACGGAGGTAGTACTGTATACTATTTGCGAAGTATATGTTGATCGGGGGCCTTAAAAATAAGGTGAAAACTATAAAAGCCACATAGTGTCGTATAAGCAAAATGAATATTGACTTGGGTCTATATACTACCTTAATTTCTTATTATTCGAAAGAAAGGGGTATTATATGTGATATATAAAATATTACTTTGTTGCAAATAATAAAATATGAAATTAATATATACTATTTGCAAAGTATCATGTTGATTGTGAACAGATGTAGATTGAGTCAGATCGATACCATATATATTAATGCATGATCTGTGCACCAGGGTGCCCCATGACCAGGGTGCACCATGCGCATGGTGCACCCGGTTAAATAAAAAAAGGCGAAAAGAACATTCATTTATTTGAAACAGAACATGTTCATGTTTGTCAAAGAATATGCATTACTAAAGAACATGAAGACATTACAAAAATAACGTGATAAAAACTTTATTAAAATTCCATAGAAAGGTACACATAAACTTTACCAAATATAATATTTCCTCAAAAATAGTTTTCTCTCTCTTCAATTTTCATAATAATTTAAGTTCCCTCTCTAAAATTATTTTCAACTAAAAATAATTCAAGATTTCATTTTCAAATTAAATTTGAAAATTCAAAATTCAAAATAACATATGATTATAAAAAAATAAACAAAGAAAAGAACATAAGTTATAATGTAAAGAACATAGTTCATACCCAAAGAATACACAAATCAAACTCAAATAACATATGATTATAAAAAAAAAAAAAGAATTTGTCATGTGCATCACTCATTACTTCAATGAACATACGAGCCAAATTCAAATAACATACTTTGTATCATTGAAACCCAAATAAATATGTTTAGTAAACAGATGTTAAAAAATATAAGAATAAAAGAACATAATATCAAACACATATATAGGTATGTTCTTTGTCAAGCATAAGTATGCTCTTTGTTAAACACGGTATGTTCTTTGTCAAATAATAATATGTTCTTTCTGCCTTTTAGGTGCACCACGCACATGGCGCACCCTAGTGTACTATTCTATTTTCACTATATCTTGATTGTGATGTATACCAACAGGTGACTAAGGGCAAGTTTTGTGTGTCGTTTGGTTGACAAAAATTTAGTGAAAGAGGGAAAGTGAAACTTTATAGGAAATTTGAGTTTCCACAAAATGTAGAAATTTACTTACCTAATCCCTTAGATAAGTAGAAATTCGCATGAAAGTTATTTCCCACGTCTTTAATCAAACAATTTTAGATGTTAAAAAAAAAAACAAACGGGTATAGATAATGCCCATGAATTTGATTCATGAATTTGCAATCACTAGAGTGTACCCGTGCAAAATGCACGGGATATATAAGAAATAATATATTTAAAATATGGAAAGTTGATTTTGATGTTGTAATTTAGACTTGAGCTGTAATGGTCGATTTTGGACTGGCCGGTTTTTTTGAACCCTAATTAGCTCTGTTGTACTGAGTATTAATAATTGTACTAATAATGTGCTGACAGTTGATGTGCTATGCTGAAATATGATATTCTATGATTTTCTTAGAAGATAAAAAAAAAGGATCTTACTCTTTTATGTCGTTGGCCACACAATGCTATTATGGGGTTTACTTTTTCAAAGTTATAGAGGTTACCTATTCAGTATTATAGGGTTTCTCGTGTTACTCGGTTAGTGTCATATGGGTTAGTGTCTTGCTTAGGTGTTACATACTTTGTTCTGTTGCAAGTAGTTATTCGTTGAGGCTAGATGCACAAAAACGTGTTGTACATTTTTTTTTTGTTTTTGATGATTAAAGAAGTGGAAAATGTTTGGAGGGTAGTCCCTAAAAAATTGCATATAATTGAAGGGTTGGGGATTTAGAGTACTATAGTGAATTGTTGATAAAGGAACCGTATACTTGTGCTAATGCATGACATATATTATACTATTGTACCAAAGTGAAATGTTATTAGTAGTTCCTTGAAAAAAAAACCAAAAGGAAATAGTGAATAGGTAGTTATTGATTTTTTTTTTAAAAATGATAAAATAATAATAATAATAATAATAATAATAATAAAGTAGTAGGATGGGTAGTTATTTTGTTCTTAAAAAAAAAAACTATATGCATGAAAGTTGAGCATTTAGGTTTTGGAGCACTCTCATCAAAATGACTCTGTAATTATAATATAGATGGAAATTTCTCCCATGTAAACCAAACAACATGTAATAATCAATACACATGATGGGTTTTGAATTTTTGTTAAGATGCTTGAATTTCAGTTTTCTAGTTTTTTTGTTTTGCTTTGTTTTGCTTTGTTTTTTATACGGAGTAGCAATTTTCAAGATTTATGTCAATGTTTTTGCTGATTATTGGACTGTTCTTAGGCGGCTCAAGAAGACTAGAGAAGAACATTCACAATGACTAACTACATGTCTTTTTTTTTATACTACCTCCGTTACATATTATTTGCAACGATTAGACATTTTTCCTCTCTACTTTATGTCAAATCGTTGCAAATAATATGTGACGGAGGTAGTAGCTAGCAATAACCATATCATTATTTCCTTAATTATACTCCCTCAGTCCCTTAATACAATGCCTCTTTCTCTTTATTATGTGAGGAATAAATGATTAAAAGAGACATTGTATTAAGGGACGGAGGGAGTACTATTTAAACTACAACCACTACAATGGCAAACTAATTCAATTCATTTTGTAATTTAGTATGTCCCATTTTATAACATGTTAAACAAATGCACCAATATATGTGCATTGGATGGAGTGAAACTATATAGTTATATATATAGAGTTGTGTAATTTGGCCTTAGCTACAACCTATGTAACTCCACAATGGTTAACATGTAGCTCTAATTATTTAGAAATTGTAAGCAGGTCATTTTATGCAATCATTGTGGATGCTCTAATGATGATTAACATTCTTTAAACTTTATTTTCTGTTCTTAACACTAGTTTTGCACTAACTGTACCAAGCATAATGGAGGCGTAACACATTGCTCGATATCCCCTTTGTTATTCTGGTTGCAGTAAGTGGATAACCGTTGTTGAATCCGTATAAACTGTTATGCTATGAAATCCTGCATCCCGTGCCCAACATAGACCTCCTAGGCAAGCAAGTAACTCAGCATGCAGAGCTGATGATGCTTTGCAAACTATACAATTTTTTATGGAGTAAAAATAATTGACGTTGATCTCTTTTACATTTTTTTCCTCTTACATAGATTTGTTTTAAAAAAAGAAAATCTCCTTTATTTTATTAGTGATTCTAGAATTTGAATTTTCTACTCTTTATTAATTCTTCAAATTTTCTATGATAAATAAAAAAATAAATGCTAACATTTTTAAAATTTAATTATAACTATGAAATTAATATGAATGTTTATCATCATGTTCTTCATTTTAGCTCAATTAATCTTACTAGAGGGATTACGATTTATTTTGTTTTGCTAGCTTAAAATATTTTTCTTACACACTTACAAGTAATTTTTTCATTATTAAAACCGTGCATCGCACATGACTAACCTAGTACTAAAATAATAACCACAAATATCATCCCTTTTCCTGAGTGTACACATGTCAAGTTGTGGTAGAAAATTTCCCCACCTAAAATGTATGGAATGTTAGCAATTATTTTATATTTTTGTTTTTCGAAATATGCATATGTAATTTTTATGTTTTTCTTTATAATTTGAAAGTTTTGTATATATCGAGTATTCAAAATTTCCAATAACTTTGAAATTATAATAACTAGAGTGTACCCGTACAAAATGCACGGGATATATATTATATTAGAAAGATATTATATATATACTATAAGAAAAAATATACTTAGAATACGGAAAGTTGATTTTGATGTTGTAACTTAGACCCTGTTCTTTTGAGCTGTTGTGGTATGTTGTGGACTTGTGTTCTAGTCTACTCTGCTGAACGCTGCTCTACTGAATATTATTAATTTGTTGACACTTGGTTTTCCACGCTGACTGCTATGCCGGAATCTTATGTTCTCTACCCTACTCAGAAGCTTAAAAGAACAGGGTCTACTCTTATATGTAGGTGGCCACGCAATGTGGCAAGTAATTATGGGGTTTACTTTGTCAAAGTTATAGAGGTTACCGGTTTAGTGTTATACGGGTAACTTGGTTCAGTGATGTAGGAGTTACTCCGTTCTTTTGCAAACTGTTTTTCGGTGAGACCAGTTTCGCAAAAAACGTGTTCTTTATTAGAGAAGTCGAAGTTGTTTGGAGGGTATTTCCTAAAAAAATACATATAGTCGAAGGGTTTGGGGATTTTGAGTGTTATGGTGAATTGTTCATAAAATGAACTATATACTCATATTATTATTGCATGTCATATATTATACTATGTAAAAAAAAATAACACAAAATGAAATGTTAGTAGTGTTCTTAGATTAAAGTGTAATATTAGTATTCCCTTATAAAAAATACAAAAAAAAAAAAAAGAAATAGTGGGATGGTAATTATTGTTTTTTTTTTTTTTTTTTTTTTTAAAAAAGGAGTGGAATGGGTAGTTGTTTTTTTTTATTTAAAAAAATAATAATGTAAAATAAATAAATAAATGCGTGAGAACAAGATTGGGAGTTTGGAGCATTTATGTATATTTAAAAGAAAAAATAAATTAAGTGGTAGTTGTAGATTTTTTTTTGAATGGTTTGAAAAAATGGAGAAGTGGATGGGTAGTTATTTTTTTTTTATTTAAAAAAATAATAATATAAAATAAATAAATAAATGCGTGAGAACAAGATTGGGAGTTTGGAGCATTTATGTATATTTAAAAGAAAAAATAAATTAAGTGGTAGTTGTAGATTTTTTTTTGAATGGTTTGAAAAAATGGAGAAGTGGATGGGTAGTTGTTTTTTTTTTATTTAAAAAAATAATATTATAAAATAAATAAATAAATGCGTGAGAACAAGATTGGGAGTTTGGAGCATTTATGTATATTTAAAAGAAAAAATAAATTAAGTGGTAGTTGTAGATTTTTTTTTTTGAATGGTTTGAAAAAATGGAGAAGTGGAAGTTATTGTAGAGGAAGTTATTAAAAAAAAAAAAATTAAAAAAGAAAAAATTAAAAAAGAGAATGCATAGAATTACTCCATTCAAGGATTGGACTATTGTGACTGAAAGTGGAAAAAAAAAACTCTTAAATTATATATTAGATATAATAAATTTAATTTGTCAAAACCATGAATCACACAAGACTAACCTAATTTTATATAACATCCAACTCCCCCCACTTTGCATAATTACATACATACATACATATATATATATATATATATATATATATATATATATATATATATATATATATATATATATATATATATTTAAAATATGTAGTATATATATTATGAGAAAAAAAATATTAGAAGTGATAGTTATTAAAGGGTGGTTATTATTTTGTTTTTTTTAATAGAGCGCTAGATTTTAATTGAGTGATATGAGTAGTTATGAGTAACAATAGTGGTTATTGATTATTTTTTTTTCAAAAACAAAAAAAAAATTAAAAAATAGGATGGCTAGAATTGCAGGGATGAAATTTTGGAGTGCTGTGAATGAAAGTTGGAAAAAAAACTCTTAAATTATATATTAGATATAATAAATTTAATTTGTCAAAATCATGAATCACACAAGACTAACCTAATTTTATATAACATCCAACTCCCTCCACATTGCATAATTATATACATACACACACATATATATATAACTCCCTCTCACATTTATAATTTTAATTTATTTGATATCTGATAAATATTATCTTAGTTATTTGACACTTTTTTTTTTTTTTTTTTGTAATAAAAAACCCTCCAAATCCATGTTGATTTGTAATTCCACCTCTAAGTATCACACTGAGGATTATTTAACGATTGATTGTTGGCTATTAAACGTTGATCTGACTAGTAAATTCTTCATATTATAATAGTTGTACTATTTTTTGAGCGAAAGAATAAATTGAGGCCCAACTAGGTGGTTATTTTTTGAGCAAAAAAAATAAAGTGAGCAAAAAAATGAGTCAAAGGAGATGAAAATCGAGTGACAAATGAGAAAAGGGAGGGAAAAGAAGAGGGGAAGATAAAAAAGTGGGGCCCACATGACGTCATAATGTGGTTGGGAGGCAATTAGGTGAGAATTTTTTATGTTTTATAAAAGAGTAGGTGGTAATTTAAAAAAAATAATAATAACGGATGTTAATTGCTAATGGAAAGAATAGTAGGTGGTAATTGTCAAAATTTCCTTTAATTAATTTAATAACTTGAATATTTATTGATGGAATATATTAGGGGTGAGAGAAGCTGCATCGACCAACTTCCTAACTACATGAAAGCAATTTATCAAGCTACGCAAGATATGTTTAACGAAATTCAGAAAGTTTTAACTCCGGAGCAACAATTATTTGCTGTTCAATCAGTCAAAAAACAAGTGCATATTATTTATCCGTAATTATTGTTTTTTTTTTAGCTTCTGGTATGAATTATATGTTGCATTACCAATAATTATAATGATTATTAATGCTATAAACTTTTTTCCTAACAGTTGGCCGATACTTGCCAAGCTACATGAAAGAAGCCATATGGCGTGACAAAAAATTCGTTCCAACGTACGATGAATACATGAAAAACGGGATTTTTAGCTCCGGCTATATGTACACTACGGTGTCATTCTATTTAGGTATGGGGGACTTTGCAACTAAAGATGCCTTTGAATGGTTGAACCAAATTCCCAAGGCTGTAAAAGCCTGTTGTATGATCGGGCGGCTCCTGAATGACATTATTAGCCATGAGGTATGTATATCTAATTCTGTTCGATATTTCTGGTATTATTTTGTTAAACAGGTCTAGGCTACACCTTTTACGAGTGTATCCCGTCAATGAATTTAAGAAGGTACCACTGCAAAAATATGTGACAATGAGAGAAGCATTTCCTTAGCCTTATACAGTGGACACGACTTTCTCTTATATGCAATGTGGGATGCACGTTTCTCTAACCCCACCCCCCCTTTACTCTTATCATTAGTTTAATAATGTAGGACAACGCTTTCACTCACTTGTGGGTTTGTTTATGGTCTCAACATATTTATGCTACGTTACTGTTGTAAATTATCAGATAATTAATCATTATCATTTCTATTTTTAATCAATGGAATTGAATAATTTTGCAGTTTGAAGTAAAAAGAGGCCCTGTTTCAACTGCGTTAAATAGTCACATGGGTCAGTTTGGTACGTCCATGGAAGAAACCATCAAGGAGCTTCGATCAGAGGTGGAGTGTGCATGGAAGGACTTAAACGAAGCGATTTTTGGACCTATTACTATTCCAAGGCCATTGCTAACTTGTACCGTTAACTTGGCAAGAATATTATACGATGTTTATCCTGATGGTGAAGATGGCTATACTATGACCCAGTTTATCCGCAAACAAGTCGAAATGATTCTAATTGAACCTATCATTGAATAAATCATGGTTCATACAAGACGTGAGTCTAAGCTAGGGTTCCAATAATACCTGATGTGGAGCAACCATGTTATTTTACTTATATTATATTTTAGTCTAAATTTGGCTTACACGTTTTTACCATTTATTTGAGTGGGTATTTCGTGTTTCAAGCATATTAGGACTCTTTTTTATTTTGAATTGCAGGTAATGCTCCCAGTTGTTATTTTTTATGCTTTTTTTTGTGTAATAAGAAAATTGTGAAATTATGATATGATAACCAATTAGCAATCGCTTGATATATATATATATATATATATATATATATATATATATATATATATATATATATATATATATATATATATATATATATATATATATATATATATTTATGAAAGTTGGGATTAGTAAAAATATAATTTAATGTTTAATTGTGATGACTTGCCAGTGAGACATATATTGATACGTCACGTATGAGCAAATAGTGGTGGATCCACTAAGGCACAAGGGGTAGCACTAGCACATGCTACCCCTGTATAAAAAATTAAAAAAAAAGTTCAAAGAGACATGTTATTATATATAACTAGTCTCTTAGAGGCTGCCATAACAAATTGAATACCAACCTCTGCGGCTTTCCATGCTAAAATAAAAGAGACCTGTTGTTTTGTGAAATGGTCTCTTAGAGGCTGCCATAACATAATTAATACTAACTTACACGGCTTTCTATCAATCAATAACTTAATACTAAAACAAATACCAGGAGTGACACATGTCACTTTCTGATGCTGTTTTTTCCCTCCAAAACTCCCCTTCCCTTTTTAACCTTTTTTTTTGTTAATATTTAATTCTATAATTATATCATTTCAAATCCTTAATCCTTTATATTATCTTTATAACAAATATATAAACCTACTTATTTGGTGTTCATAACTATTGTATACACATTTACCTAAATAATTATTTCAACTTCTTTAAAAAAAAAATAAAATTATTTCAACTCCTTTTTAACTATCTTTTAAATGGAGTATTATTAGATTTTGCCAAAAAAGTTATAATAAATTGATTCATATAATAGATGTTAATGAAATTACTTTAAAATATCACTTAATTTTTTTTTTCAAATACCTCTAGCTAATATTTTATTCCAATTTCAATTCAATATAACTAAATATTCAAGTCAATTACAATTTTGTTTATGAAATTTTACTATTATACGTACATAATATCACAAATTGATTTATAGAGTATAGTATAGCCATAAAATAAATGTTGTGTTTAACAAATGATTTTTAGATATAAAGGTGATATTATTTGTAATTTTGTGAATGTTTGAACTTTTGCTAATTATTTTTGTGGAGATTTTAGTTTGTTGTTCAGTTGACTTTTGATGTTTATTAAAATAACATTTATAAATAAGTATTTACTAATATAGCCACTAGACGTGATCAAGCCCCGCTTGAAAAATCTTGAGTTCGGGCAGACTAAAAAATTCCATTTTTTAGATCATTTGTTGTTTTGCCTATTAATAAGTATTATGACATTATAATTTCTATATATTTGATTTGTATGTTTTATTAAATTTTATTTTTTGGATATAGTTAATTCTCTTAAAAATATTAGACTTACCATGCATGGCACGGGCCTTAAACTAGTGACTAAAAATAATGTTAGCGGAAATGTTCGATTTAATAAAGTAAAAAAAAAGCAAAAAATAAATTTAATAAAATAAATGTTCAAAGTCCAATTTTCATTACTTTTTTAATTATTTATTTTTTAATTTTGAAAATTTAATATTAACTACATTATCTTAAGTTATATTCTCTCAAAAAAAAATAAAATTGTCACACATAGATAATCTTAAAGAGAGCAAATATTAACCATGTATTTATGTGATTACTCCTAATTACAAAGTCCACTAAATTTTGTTGTATACATAAATTTTCTTTTGATTATATTATTTTAATTTTTGTAGTTTTGTTTATGTTAATACAAAGATTTTACATATTTTGGATGATAAATTGATTTAAAAATGTACACAATTATAAATTATTTTTATAATATCCGTGGATCGCACGGGAGCTAATTAGTTTTTACATGATTTTTGATAAAAAAAATAATATTGGTTTTAGAAATAATGAAAATAGTTTTTTTTTTTAAATACGCCACTGTTGCCGTGAATTGGGGATTTGGAGGGAATAGCTTTGACAAATTCTATCCTAATATACTTTACCGTTTTGAAGGGATCCTAATATTCTTTACCAACAAATGATTTGCTACAATATTACAATATATTTTTATACCAAATTTTTGTGTGTACATTTAATTTTTTAAAAATATTGTATATATATAATTACAAATTTATGGTTATATTCATATTTAGATATTTTAGCCAAGCCAATTAACTAAAAAGATTTTTTTATCCAAGCCAATTAATTAAAAAGATTTAACATAATGTTAGGTTATAATTATGATAAGTTAGATATATTTTGTGAATATCTTTGTATATATCTTGTGAGGAGTTTTGGCAATTTAGGTTAATGTTGTAAGCCTATATATATGTGTTGAATGGTAAAGGCTTATTAAGCCGTTTTCTCCTATAATTATTGTGAGTTTAACATGGTATCAAGAGCACTCTAATTTAGAGAATTTTTACGTTCTTTAATTTCTTCCTAAACACAAAATCTAGTTCTTTGTTCTTCTTGATTTTTTTTTCCTTTTCTGTTTTGTTCCTGGTCGTGCTTCCGCTTTGTGCTTGTTCGTCTATTGAGTAGTGATGATGATGTTCCCAAGGCCCCTCGTTATGAGCCATTTTCTGCTTATTATCTCCATCCAAGTGAGGGTACAGGGGCTGTGATTAGCCCAATTATGCTCAAAGGAGATAACTATGAGGAGTGGTCTCGTTCTTTGCGAAATAATCTTCGTGCTAAGAAAAAAATTTGGTTTTATTGATGGCACTATTACGGTGCCGGGCAAGGAGTCTCCAGATTTTGATCAATGGGGTATCGTTAATTCAATGCTCGTTGCTTGGATTGTGAATACCTTGGATGTTTCGGTACGTTCTACGGTTCGTTTTCCCGACCATGTCAAATCTTTATGGGATGATCTACGTGATAGATATTCCCTTGGCAATGGTCCTTGTATTCTTGAGTTGAAGGCTCAAATTGTGGATTGCAAGCAACGTGGTAGGCCGGTGGCCGTGTATTTTGGTGAATTGAGGAAGCTACAAGATGAATTAGCAAGTTATTGTAAGTTCCCTAAGTGTACGTGTGATGCTGATTCTCAATATGCCAAGATTCTTGAAAGTGAATTACTTCACCAATTTTTTATTGGTTTAGAACCAAAAAAGTTTAGGAGTATTGTATCGACCCTTCTTATGATGGACCCAATTCCGTCATTGAACGTGGCTTACGCGAAAGTAGTGTCGGATGAGAGAAAACAGAATGTTTCTGATTCTCAAGACTCGCGATCGGAGGCTGTGGGGTTTGCGGCCTCGGGTTCTGCTCAAGGCAGGGCTGCTTGGTCAAGTGGTAGTAGTGGTGAAGTTCGCGTGTGTGACCATTGTGGGAAAAAAGTTCATGTTAAGGAGAAGTGCTTTGATTTAAATGGCTGGCCCGAATATTTCAATTCTGGTGGGCGTGGAGGTCAGCGTGGTGGCAGGTCTGGCCGTGGAGGTGGTCACAACAATCGCAGTGGTCGTACAACGGACTCTAGTGGACGTGGGTTCGCTGGCAATGTAAACAGCAGCTCTCGGCAAAGCAGTGGGCAGGAGGTGAATGCCGAGGATCGTGGTTCTGCTCCAACACTTACTGATGATCAGTGGGCACAATTTTTAAATGCTATAAAGGGAAGTAATTCCACTACTTCCTTGACAGATGCTAAATCTCACGGTACGTCTTATTTAATGTGTGGATAATTGATACAGAGGCTTCAAACCACATGTCTGGTAACTTGAGTTTATTTTCTAATTTGCGTGACATTAAATCTTCTGTTGGTTTGCCTAACGGGAAAAGTACTACGGTCACAAAAGAAGGCAAAATTATTTTGAGTGATGATTTGATTTTAGAGGATGTTTTTTTTGTTCCTGAATTAAATTGTAATTTGTTGTCAGTGTCTCAATTATTAGAAAAGCAAAAATTTATTGTTCTATTCACTAACAAGCTATGTACTATTCAGGACTGCACTTTGGAGAACCTGATTGGAGCGGGGGAGCAGTGTAATGGGGTCTATTTTTTCCGGCCGGTTCGTCCTCGTGTTTGTCAAGAAAATTCGGTTGGTGTTCCAGATTCAAGTATGTTATGGCATAGGCGTTTAGGTCATCCTTCGATGAAAGTAATATCATCTTTACCTGGAGTAGCCAGTAGTAGCATGAATAAAAAGTGTGGTGTGTTAGATTGTCATATTTGTTTTATGGGTAAACAACCCCGAAACTCGTTTCCTTTAAGTATGAATAAAGCATCTGGTTTGTTTGATTTGATACATTGTGATATATGGGGTCCGAATAGAATTTCTTCTAGTTGCAATGCTAGATATTTTCTTATTATTGTTGATGATTACTCTCGTGCTACATGGATTTGTTTGATGGTTGGTAAACATGAAGTAGGGAAAATAATTCGTGATTTTTTGACTTTAATCAAAACTCAATTTAATAAAAAGATTAAAGTTGTACGAAGTGATAATGGGCAAGAGTTTTTGTGTTTGAGACCTTTTTTTGATAAAAAAAGGAGTAATACATCAAACCTCATGTGTAGATACCGCTCAACAAAATGGTCGTATTGAAAGGAAATATAAGCATATTTTGAATGTTGCTCGTGCTTTACGTTTTCAAGCTAAATTGCCTAAGTATTTTTGGTGAGAATGTGTTTTGGCCGCCGTTCACCTTATTAATTTGACTCCCACTCCTATTTTAGGTGGAAAAACTCTTCATGAATGTTTGTTTGGAAAACCCCCTTATTATGATGAAGTATGTGTTTTTGGGTGTTTGAGTTATGTTGTGAATAATGTTCGTGGTAAAGATAAATTTG